GCAGTCTACTTGCCTCAGCCCCCAGAGTGCAAGGATTATGCAGGTGTGAGCCACTGTACCCAGCCTATTTTATTTTTTCAGAACAGGTTCTTGCTTTGTTACCTGGGGTAGAGTGTGCAGTGACATCTTCATAGCTCACTGCAACCTCAAACTCCTAGGCACAAGCAATGCTCCTGCCTCAGCCTCCTCAGTAGCTGGGACAACGGGTATGTACCACCACACCTGGCTGTGTTTTCTGTTTTTTGTAGAGACAGGGTCTCTCTGTGTGGGTCAGGTGGTTGTCCATCTTTTGGCCTCAAATGATCCTTATCCCTGGGCCTTCCTGAATGGTAGGATTAACAGGTGTGAGCCACCACATTTGACCAGTTTAATTGTACAATGAAATGTTAGTGTCAATTTTAAGAGAAAATTTACTTTCAGTTGCTTTTATCATCTGTCATATCCTCTTATAATGAAGACCTCAGTTTATTCACATGTCAGTTTATTTGTTGCTGTTATCATTATATATATGTTGGGTTGATAGGACATTTGGAAAAGTTTTGTGATTCAGAGATTCACAGATTTCAGTATGTATAAAGAAATGTCTCCCATTTATTAGGACTGTGTAGTTATAAATATTTTACAATTATTAAGCTATTAGGCTAGACTCACTTTTAGTTCGAAAGAAGTAGGTCACATCTCCAAGGACTTGTTTAACAATTTACATTCTCTGGATCTGTTTATTTGGGGACAAAAATTGTTCTAAGTGCATTAACTGATCTTCTTATGTACATTCTTATTAGTCTACAATGTGTTATCTTTACTAATTCTCTAACTCCAAAACTTTCTTTATTCTTTGGGGTTTTTTTGAGACAAAGTTTCACTTTGTCAGCGTTGGTAGAATGCTCTAGCATCATACCTTATAGCAACCTCAAACTCCTGGGCTTAAGAGATTTTCTTGCCTCAGCTTCCCAAATAGCTGGGACTGTAGGCACCCACCACAATGCCTGGCTATTTTTTTGTTGCAATTTGGCCGGGGCCAGGTTTGAACCCACCACCCTTGTTATATGGGGCCGGCGCCCTACCCACTGAGCCACAGGCGCCACCCAACTTTAGGGTTTTTAGACGAGATCAGGCACATTCAGGGTGGTATGGCTGTAGACAACTTTAGGGTTTTTAAAATAACCTTATTAACAAAAATTAAAAAGCTAACCCTTCATTTCATTTTCCATGAAAATTCAGGGATCTTTGAACCTCGCCATCTCAGATATTTCTGAAACTCCTATTTATTTACATTTATTTAGACAGTCTCACTGTGTTGCCCTCAGTAGAGTGCCATGGCATCACAGCTCACAGCAATGTCAAACTCCTAGGCTTAAGCAATTCTCTTGCTTCGTCCTCCCAGTAGGTGGGACTACAGGCGCCCACCACAATGCCTGACTATCTTTTATTTTATTTTTTTGAGACAGAGTCTCACTACATCACCCTTGGTGGAGTGCCATGGTATCACAGCCCACAGCAACCTCAAAGCTTAAGCAATTCTCTTGCCTCAGCCTCCCAAGTAGCTGGAATTACAGGTGCCTACCACAATGGCTGGCGAGTTTTTTGTTGTAGTTGTCATTGTTGTTTAGCAGGCCTGGGCTGGTTTTGAACCCACCAGCCCTGATGTATGTAGCCAGTGCCCTAACCACTGAGCTAGGGCGCTGAGCCTTAATATAAAGTTTTAAAAGTTAAAAAATATATTTTGCATAGAAAAAAAGCTTATAAATATATAAAAAATATTTTTGTGGATTTATACAGGTATTACAAGAGTCAAAAAGTTTTAACAAGTATATGAAATAAAAAAGTTTCAGTAAGTTTAGTTAATTTATCTAAATTGAAGAAAGAAAAAACTTTTCTTTTTTTTTTTTTTGAGACAGGAGCCTCAAGCTGTCCCCCTGGGTAGAGTGCCATAGCATTTCAGCTCACAGCAACCTCCAACTCCTGGGCTCAAGCGAGTCTCCTGCCTCCGCCTCCCAAGTAGCTGGGACCATAGGCGCCCACCACAATGCCTGGCTACTTTTTGGTTGCAGCTGTCATTGTTGTTTGGCGGGCCCAGGCTAGATTTGAACCCACCACCTTGGATGTACGTGGCTGGTGCCTTAGCCACTTGAGCCACAGGCGTTGAGCCAGAAAAAACATTTTTTTTTTTTTTGAGACAGAGCCTCAAGCTGTCCCCCTGGGTAGAGTGCCATGGCATTACAGCTCACAGCAACCTCCAACTCCTGGGCTCAAGCGAGTCTCCTGCCTCCGCCTCCCAAGTAGCTGGGACCACAGGCGCCCGCCACAACGCCCGGCTATTTTTTGGTTGCAGCCGTCATTGTTGTTTTGGCGGGTCCAGGCTGGGGATTCGAACCCGCCACCTTAGGTGTACGTGGCTGGCGCCTTAGCCGGTTGAGCTATAGGTGCCGAGCCAGAAAAAACATTTTTTTATGAATTTAGTTTAGCCTAAGTGTATGATGTTTATAGAGTCTACGGTAGTGCACAGTAGTGTTCTAGGCTTTCACATCCACTCACCATTCACTTGTTGAATCATGCAGAAAACTTTTAGTCCTGCAAGCTCTATTCATGGTAAGTGCCCTATCCAAGTGGACCATTAAAAAAAAATCTTTTTTTTTTGCAGTTTTTCTTTTTTTGGCCAGGGCTGGGTTTGAACCCACCATCTCTGGGGCCAGCACCCTACTCCTTTGAGCCATAGTTGCCACCCTTTTTTTTTTTTTTTTTTTTAGAGACAGAGTCTCACTTTGTTGCCCTTCAACCTCCAAGTCTTGGGCTTAGGTGATTCTCTTGCCTCAGCCTCCCATGTAGCTGAGACTACAGGCACCCACCATGATGCCCAGCTATTTTTTTGTTGCAGTTTGGCTGGGGCTGGGTTAAAACCCACCACCCTCGGTATATGGGGCCAACACCCTACTCACTGAGCCATAGGCACTGCCCTAAAAAAAATCTTTTATGCAATATTTTTACTATACTTTTTTTTTTTTTTGACAGAGTCTCAAGCTGTTGCCCAGGGTAGAGTGCTGTGACATCACAGCTCACAACAATCTCAAACTCTTGGGCTTAATCAATTCTCTTGCCTCATTCTCTCAAGTAGCTGGGACTACACACCCCTTCCAACACCCAGCTATTAATATATCTTTTCTGTATTTAAATGTGTTTAGATAGGCAAATCCCAATGCCTACAGTATATGAAATTGCCTACAGTATTCAGTACAATAACATTTTATACAGGTGTGTAGCCTAGAAGCAATAGGCTACACAATAAAGTATAGGTATATTATAGACTGTATGATCTAGGTTTATGTAAGGAACACTATGATGTTCACACAATGAGAAAATCACTCATTGATGCATTTCTTGGAAAATATTCTGTTATTAAACCATGTATGAGTGTATTCAAAAGAAAGCAAGAATTAGCCAGATCAAGGGGTAAGGGGTTGGTGGTTTCAGATAGCAGAAACAGCCTCTATAAAGGCCTTGAATTTTAAAACCATGATAAGTTTCAGAAAAGTCATTATGATGTTTGTGAACATTGAGGTTGATTTCTATCAAGAATTATATTTAATTTCATCCTGAAAGCAGCTGCAAGATTCATTTTTTTATACGCAAGATTAGGAAGATTATATAACATCGTATCATTAGAGAAAGCATTTTAATGTTCAGTTCGACAGAAATCTAAGTGTGAATGGTTGGTTTGTTATTTTCTAAGTATTTATGTAAAGTATATTCTCACTAAGGATCAAGAAATTAGTATAAATTAATAAAAAGTCTGAATTATAGAGTAGTTTAAATCTATTTTATAATCTTAACTGGTACTAATAAAATGTTGTTAAGTGTATTAGTTAGGGAACACCTTTGAGTTAATAGATTAAAAATAATTTAAAACAATGTCAATTTGTATAGCAATTTTTGTATGTTAATTATGTTCTAAATATAAAGAGATACTGCTGGCTCGGTGCCTGTGGCTCAAGTGGCCGCCAGCCACATACACTTAAGGTGGTGGGTTCGAATCCAGCCCGGGCCTACCAAACAACAATGATGGCTGCAATCAAAAAAAAAAAATTAGCCAGGCGTCGTGGCAGGCACCAGTGGTCCCAGCTACTTGGGAGGCAGAGGCAGGAGACTCACTTTGAGCCCAGGAGTTGGAGGTTGCTGTGAGCTGTGATGGTACAGCACTGTAGGGGGACAGCTTGAGGCTCTGCCTCAAAAAAAAAAAAAGAAAAAGAAAAAAGAGAGAGATACTACTTATGGCAGAAAAAATATTTCTTATTTGAACTTTTTACACATGATGTGTCCCTTTCAGTAATTCTTCAAAATATCTTCTCTCTCCTATTACATTCTATCTCATTGTGTTTATTTCCTATATAGATTTTAAAGTTCTTTTCTTTTCCCCTACCACTGTTTTTCAAACACCAATATTCTCAGTTACAAATAAAAATCACTAATTTAGGCTCGGCGCCTATAGCTCAACCGGCTAAGGTGCCAGCCATGTACACCTAAGGTGGCGGGTTCGAATCACCAGCCCGAACCCACCAAACAACAATGATGGCTGCAACCAAAAAATAGCCGGGCGTTGTGGCGGGCGCCTTTGGTCCCAGCTACTTGGAAGGCGGAGGCAGGAGACTCGCTTGAGCCCAAGAGTTGGAGGTTGCTGTGAGCTGTAATGCCACGGCACTCTGCCCAGGGGGACAGCTTGAGGCTCTGTCTCCAAAAAAAAAAAAAAAAATCACTAATTTATAGCAAATGAATCAAATTACAGTGTAGTTCTGATTAAATCAGTATCCTGGTCCTGTGATGATATGAATTATGCTTAAACTGTTTATAGAATATCTGAGTGACTGGACTTATACAGTGATTTTTGTACCTCCTTTTATTTTTCTTGATTAGGTAATAAAGACTTTCTCAAAGAGTGTTTTCTTTAAAAAAAAAAATTACATCAATCAGTTTTTGGTTTTTGTTGTGTTTTTCTTTTACTCTTATAGATTTCTTGATAACCGGATGTTTGCTACCTGCTCTGATGACACTACAATAGCACTATGGGATCTGAGAAAACTGAACACCAAAGTATGCACTTTACATGGTCACACTAGCTGGGTGAAGAACATCGAATATGATACTAATACAAGACTCTTAGTAACATCAGGATTTGATGGAAATGTCATTATTTGGGACACGAACAGGTTTGTGAATAGAATAATACCATGTTAGGATTGTGAATAAAAATATATTTTTTTAAAGTAGCGAACAAATTCAGTGTTCTGTTTTAGGCTTGAGAAAAACTGGCTTTCAGAAAAACAAATCAAAAGGTGATTCTAGGCTGGGCACGGTAGCTCACGCCTGTAATCCTAGCACTCTGGGAGACTGAGGCAGGTGATTTGCCTGAACTCACAGGTTTTAGACCAGTCTTAGCAAGAGCTAGACCTGTTGTCTAAAAATATCCAGTTGTTGTGGCAGTCGATGATAGCTCTAGCTACTCAGGAGGCTGAGGCAGGAGAATCACTTGAGCCCAGGAATTGGAGGTTGCTGTGAGCTGTGACGCCATGGCACTCTATCAAGGGCACCATAGTGAGAGTCTGTCTAAAAAAAAAATAGAGAAAAAGAAACTCAAAGGAGTGCTAGGAGAGTGAAAGCTGATTAGTCATCAATAATTGTGTAAATTGGGCGGTGCCTGTGATTCAGTGCGTAGGGCGCCAGCCCCATATACTGAGGGTACTCTACCAAGGGCGACATAGTGAGACTCTGTCTCAAAAGAAAAAAAAAATGATTCTACCTTTTATTGCTTGTACTTAGTCATATATTGCAACTGAACATTTTAGAGCTGGATGTGGTGGCTCAAGCCTGTAATCCCAGCTACTGGAGAGACTAAGGTAGGAGGATTGCTTCAGGCCAGAAGTTTGCGACCAGCCTGGGCAACATACTGAGATCTCCATCTCTATAAATATTTAAAAAATTAGCCAACTGTGATGACGTGTGCCTGTAGGGCTAGCTACTGGGAGGCTAAGGCAGGAGGTTCACTTGAGCCTAGGAATTCAAGACTAGCCTGAGTGATGATAATTTTTTCTAGAGACACTAAGTAATATGGTTAATGATAAAAACTGGTTTATAAAATGAGTTTCTCAATTTAAGGAAAAATATTTCTGTCTTTTTTTTCCCCCTCTGAAACTAAAATGTTCCTCCGTCTTCGTTCCTTCAATTCTTTTGTTTTTGGTTTTGAGACAGAGTCTTACTTTGTTTCCTTGGGTAGAGTGCCATGGTATCGTAGCTCACGGCAGCCTCAAACTCTTCAGTCAGCAATTCTCTTGCCTCAGCCTCCCAAGATGGAGGTCTTGCTCTTGCTGAGGCTGATCAGGAACTCCTGAACTCAAGCATTCCACCCACTTTGGCCTCCTAGAGTGTAGGATTATAGGCATGAGCCACTATACCCAGTCTGTGATGTTACAGCACTCTACCGAGGGCAGCATAGTGAAACTTTGTCTCAAGAAAAAGAAATGAATAACCACATTAGTAGATAACATGGATAAATTGGTTTGATTGTTTTGAGGAATAAAATTCAACATTCTGTTACTTCAGTTCTAAATCTATTTATTATAATTTTTGTACTTGCATTAAAAGAGTAGTTCTTATTTGGAAGGATACTGATCTCAAAGGGAATGTTTGGAAATAATATGTGGAATAGTTTTGGTTGTCACTATGCAGAGGAGAAAGGGAGATATACTGACATTTAGTTGGGAAAGACCAGATTTTTTTTCTTTTCTTTTTTTTTTTTTTTT